AACTGACTGGGGGTGGGTGGTGGAAGGGGTAATGGAAAACAGACTGGGTGGTGGGATGGGTAGAAAGAAACAGACTGAAGGTCGGTGGTGGAATGGGTAACCGAAAATAAACTACCCCTTCCACCATCCTGTCTATTTCCCTTTACCCCTTCCGCCACTGATCCCCAGTCTGTTTCCCTTTACCTCACCCCCAGCCTATGATAAATATCTTTTATTGTTCAAAAGGCTGACAAGTTAGAATATTTCCTTTATTTTTCATTCATAAACAACTAATTAAAACTTCTTTTTTACAGATTTTATTTTTCTTGTTCACAAGAATGACCATTTTTGAAGATTCACTAAATTGTTATATCTAGTAAAATAAAGCTAAAGTTGTTCCTAATTTATGAAGTTAACCCAGTTGGTTATAATACATCAAATGTTAATACATTGTACATGTAGTTTGTGATTTCATGTAGAATATTTCTGGGGGATAATGGTGTACGTGTATAGTACAAAATGAAATGAAATGGGGTTTAACATCCTACTGTTCTGCTCCTATACTGGGCTAATGAAGACGGGCATACGCCATACAGTGTGCTATTAGGGAAATTTTGCCCGGGCAGTGGCACTATCGCCTACTCTTATATCGAATTCCAACTGCCAGGGGATCTTTTACGTGCATTCCAATATATACATGGGACCTCGGTTTTTCGTCTCATCCGAAGGACTAGACAGCTGTCCTTGTCAGGCCCTCCGTCCTGCATCACTGACAAAAGGAAACCATGCCAAGGCAGGGATCGAACACCCGACCTCCAGGCTAGCGAGCCAGCGTCTTACCCACTTAGCCACGTGATCCCAATGTATAGTACAAGTTCTTGTGTCTTCCTGTTGATAATAATAATATCACTTATAGAGGATATTCCAAACAGTCACAGAGAGAATACATTGGCGTGCACATAAAAGACCCCTTGTCAGTTGGAATTCGAACTAAGAGTCGGTCGTTGCGCTGCTGTCTGGGCAAAATATCCTTCATAGCACGCTAGGGTACGTGCCTGTATGGGTCAGTCAGAAATATAGGACCTAAAACTCTATTTCATTCTATGTCATTAAGAGAGAGAGAGGAGAGAGAAATGGGGTTTAACGTCCACGCGACACAAACTAGGTCATTTCGGGACTAACATATGGTTTAATTTTATTTCAACAATTCACTTGCACGTAGGTTTTTTTAGCAGTGGGAGGAAACCAGAGGACCCGGAGAAAACCCATGAGGTTGGACAGGCGACCCTACTCCTTGTCACGTACAACCGGGGAATCGAAACCACGCCAGTTGACTCTATGACAGGCCTTATGATACAGCGCGCACATGCTAACCATTCGGCCATCCATCCATCCCCCCAGTATGTTCAAAGTGTTTGAGATTTAGTTCTGTACAATTAAAGTTCAGCAGCAAGGCACCACTAAACACATGTTCCTGAACCAACCACTGTAAGTTTTACAACATCTGGAAGTAGCCAGATTACTTCACAAATTTACTTCACAGTAATGTCCAATCAGAGGTTGTAACATCGTGACATCCACAGAAACCTTGACATTGAACAAGCCTTTAACTTTACAACTGGATTATCACAGGTCGACATTTTACATTGAAAGCGTAATACAAGGCATTTGCGATGTACAACCAAGGAATCTGATAGACTCACAAGCTTGGTGAGTACTCAATCGAAATTTGTGCCAAAATATGCAGGATATTATGTGAAGGCCTTGATAAGATGTACGTGGTAAAAGCGAGATCAAGCCTTCTACTGAAGATGCGCTAAACACAACCTATATATAAATAGGTCTTCAATGAGGTTTTTACTGTTGATAATGATGGGCATTTTTATAGTCAATATTGGAGAAATGTCTTCATACTGTAAAGTTTTACAGATGATCCTGGTGGCTTTGTGATGAATTCTTTGTACCCTAAGTAATTGTTCATTACAGTAATCAAGATGGGAAATGATGAGAAAACCAACAAGAGTAGAAGCAACATCTTCTGTGATTAGCAGGGCTGTCGGTAATTTTTCACAGTTGATTAGCAGCACTTCTAATCATAAAGTCCAATTTTGCCTATTTGATTAGAAAATTCAAAAATTGATTAGCAGTTGTTCAGTTTCAACATAAAACACCTAAATAACAAGATATTACTTTAATTCATAACAAATGATTAGATTTCATTCTTGGATTTTTTTAGCACTGCTATTGGTAGCTGTGACGGATTGTGAATGTGATGTACACTTTTGGTGTGTTGGCAGTGGCTTCCGAAGCCCCACTCATTTTAATTGTTATTTCTTCGTTACATGAAAAATTTTCGTTAGAAAACAATTTTGTCTGCTTTTTATAGTTTGTTACTATTTTTGTTCAATCGGACACACACGGAAAAAAGTTAATATTTGTGGCTCATTTGTGGCAAATGTCTCTATTTATCTTATACATAAAAAACTGTTTTAGAATTTAATTTGTCAGAGGAAAAAAGTTAATATTTGTGGCTCATTAAGTCGCATCGATGTCATCCTTATCAGTGATTGTAGCGACTGAGCGAATGTTCACTGCTGATCAGTGTGACGGTATACTAGAGTGTATTCATGTATGTGTACCTGACTTTTGTTTGACTTGACTAAATTGTCTGTGTGACCGTGTGATTGTATATGTAACGTGTCTTGTTCAAGTTAATTAAGGTGTACTCATGAGTGGATGGTGCAAGATCTGTTAACAATGGACTGATACACTGATTGTGCTGACTCGATGGCTTGGTCAGAGGATCTCACAGCGCTGGCCCTGGATTACAACTGGACGAGTTGGTCATACGCCTGAAGAGATAGAGAGTGAGCGACTATCAGATTTTATTGACAAAATGGAAGAACATGTCATTCAGGTTACATTCATAGATGTAATTATGAACAATACATAAACATTTACACAAATGCTATAATAATGATTTGATTCTTGGCAAGCACTCATTTTGAAACAAGGGTCATAACTCTAAATCATTCCATCTCTGGTGCATTTAATTCTAAGGTTGCTCTCCAAATGCAAGCTTGCATGTGCGCTCTTTTGACATTTTCTGCAAAAGACTCATTAGCTGGTGGAAGGGAACTTGAAGTAGGAGCAGAAGCCGTCTTTCAGCTAGATTCGAGGGTCTGTCATACTATTTTATTATTTCTGTCCATAGCAAGCTGAAACAAACGCTGTTGCTTCCTTGGTAACTTGAACCCAATAGTGTAATAAAGTCTGTCATTTAGTCAACTGGCGTGGTTTCGAATCCCCGGTTGTACTTGACAAGGAGTAGGGTCGCCTGTCCAACCTCGTGGGTTTTCTCCGGGTCCTCCCACTGCTAAAGACCCCTACTTGCATGCGAATTATTGAAATAAAATTAAACCATATGCTAGTCCCGAAATGACATAGTTTGTGTCGAGTGGACGTTAAACCCCTTTTCTCTCTATCTCTCTCTCTCGAATAGTGTAGCCATGAATAAGATAATTATCACGGCTCACTAATATTGCTACTAATTCGCTTTAAAATATTTATTATTTTGTTGTGGTTACTGGTTTTGGTTAGTGGTCTGATACCCAAAAAGAGGGAGGGAACTATTTTTATTACTATAAATAAAGCAGTGTTGACCTCTGGCTTGTGGTTGTGGTTTCGATCCCTGGTGTGGCTTTGATATAGGGGCACTGTAGCGTCTCAACATTTATTAGAGACTTTTTAGGGGTTCGTTCCAGCCTAGCACTTCAATTGAAAGAACTAACAAACTCGGGTGTAGATAAAAATAAACATCTTTATTTGGATCAATTTATAATTGGGATACATCGCATTAAGGTGAGATAATTTGGGTGAGACGCCAACCCTTTGGATAAATTCCCAGGTATGGAAACAGGAATTAGGTAAATAAATACATATGCCCTGTCAGGCCGGTGGATATGACGGGATTAAATCGGAGATTTGGTGACATAAGGAATTGGTAAGACTTGGGGGAATGGGTGAACCACAACTATCTAGGCCTATCTTGGATCAAGCCAGTCAAGGTTAAACCAACCTATGAGTCTTTAAATAGGAGACCAGTTATGGATAAATTACCACAGCCAAAGCTAGGATATTAATTCCTTACCCATTTTTGGTGATCCATATCCAATTTAAAATAGCTGGATTGCTGCCAATTACGTAAGGAGCTTTCCCGAGTGCACCGAGTGTCCACTGAGGATTTCCTTGTCGTCTGCTTCTATTTATAAGGGGATTCCGATGACGTCAGTTGTCGACCAATCAATGCGAGCGTTACTAACAATGACGACGTTATAGCGCACAATACTGGATCTTCAATGAGTTACTTTCTATTTTTCACTCGGCAACCGGCTGCAGATTTCACTCGGCCAACTTCGGTTACTCCTCTACACCAAACCATGTTTCCAAACAGAGTTATCTTTCCGTGACCCGCAAATTATATTTTTAACAATGAGTTGAATTCTATAGGAGGTGTTGGAACTCCCGCAAACAGTGCCGGTGGTGCAAGTAAGTTATAAAAATAAATACAACTGACAAAAGGTTAAGGACCACCTTAAAGTAAAACAAGACAGGAATATTTGGTCATTTAAGTAATAGATATTTTTTAATTGAGGATTTCGAAAAATATAGGAGTCCATTAGATGAGCCATGATGATCTGGTCAGGAAAAGGATGAGGATTACAGACAAGAGTAGTGATAACCATCGTCATGTGTATCCCTCTCTCACTTGGAGAGAGAGAGAGAAATGGGGTTTAACGTCCACTCGACTAACATATGGTTCAATTTTATTTCCATAATTCGCTTGCGCGTAGGGATCTTTAGCTGTGGGAGGAAACCGGAGGACCCGGAGGAAACCCACGAGGTTGGACAGGCGACCCTACTCCTTGTCACGTACAACCGGGGATTCGAAACCACGCCAGTTGACTCAATGACAGACTTTATGATACAGCTAACCATTCAGCCATCCAACCCCCCCCTCTCTCACTTGGATCACGTCCTCAACACCTCTTGTTTGATTAGTACCATGGTACCAAAGGAACCTGATACTATTCTTCTTGGAGTGGCAAGACTTATGCTGGAAGTATTTTGTGATGGATATTACATGGTTCCAAATAAAAACCATCTGAATTTATTGTTGATGGTTAAATATCAAACAGACCTCATTTTAAACGGTGGTGCTTATCTTTTTGACACACATAATTTTTACCTGTACTACTGCTCAAAAGCTTTTAATTTTGTTTTAAAATTCTGTTAATTCGTTGATAAATCACGTTATTCTATTCTCTAGTCATGGTAGTCAGTTAAACTTGAAACCTGTATGTTTAAGTTGTAACCACTGTAAAAAGGATGGCTGTAGAAGAATCATGTTCGTTCTGAATCTAAATGTAAAACCTATTCCCCCCCCCCCTCCCCAGTCGCTGATCAACAGAAATGAGCAAAGTGAACCTGGGCACTAAACAATATTCAGAATACAAGTTATTTAGAAGTTTATTTTGTTTGTGGCTTGATAAATACAAGAGAACACTTTTCAAGACGTCGTCAGAAATGAACTGTGAAAAAACTTGTATTTAATACACCGGTATATTAGTCATGGTTTATTCAATACAGTTACTAAATGCAGCTTTAACAAACTACATTTTTTAATTGTTTATTTACAGAGAAGAAATGGGAAACATTACCAGGCTGCCAGACACGCCCCATTGATAACAAAGGTCTGCCTGCTGCCGCTGTACACAAAACACCCAACCCAGAACCAATCGATGCCACAAAATTGCCGCTAGCAGAAAAAATTCGACGACTTTCAATGTTTTTACGAAGTGAAAAAAAAGTAATCAATGAAATTATGGTGAGGTTTTATTTATTAAAGATACATTATGGGAGATGGAGATAAGATAACGAGTTAGCAGTTCTCACTATAATAGTTAAAAACTACATAATGTAAAGGGAATTTGCTGAAAATGTCAGTCAAATTGGTCCACTATGAACCGAAAACTAAGCGGATGAAAGTTTCGCCTAGCCTCGAAACTAATAGTCTCGATTGTCTATTGTTGTGATTTAATTATCAATGAGCGATAGCAGCATATAGAATTGTAATCCAGTCGACATCGAAGGCTAGCCTTGACATCGGGAGTTTATTATGGTCTGGATAAGTTAATTAATGTCTAATTAATAATTTAGATAAGATTTCAGGCCTAAAGAAAGACCTGAAATTGACAGGTTTAGCTCTTGCATAATGCATGTTTAATATTTTTCACAATAATCTCATTAAAAACACAGATTCTGCTTTATTTTTATTTTTATTTTTATTCAAGCATGTATTACGTATAAAATTCTTTTATTTGCCCATCTACATAAGACCAGTTGGGCGAGTTTGGGTGGTCGAAGCGTTAATGCGTCATTACCCGCTTGTACGTGACAAGGAGTAGGGTCGTCTGTTCAACCTCGTGCGTTTTCTCCATGTCCTCAGGGTTTCCTTCCACTGCTAAAGACCCCTAATGAAATAAAATGAACTATATGTTAGTCCCGAAATGACCTAGTGTCGAGTGAACAATAAAGCCCATTTTCCTCTCTTTCCCATTAAATCCTATTTTATTTCATTTTAGTTGTTTGAGAATTCTCTGATGAGTTGTAAAGTTGGAATTTGACCAGATTTTTTGATCGATGGCATGGTACAAGGAAAGAACGGATCCTTTTTCACTGGCCGACTTAATCTGGGTGGTGTGTTCCTAGCCAGAGCTATCGGCATCAACAAGAAAGAAATCAAACTGTCATGTTTCAAGAAGGCGGTGGAACTTTATCGTACCCTTCCTGTCACTGAAATTTTGAACCAGGATGATATGACCCCAAAAGTTATCAAGGAGAAACTGGAGAATTTTAACTCGACCGTTGCTAAGATGGAGAAAGAAACAATTGCAGAGTTACCCCCACCATCTATTTTGAAACAGATCCAAGATATTCTAACCAATCCTAAATATGCTTCAACCAATTCAGTCAGCAAAATGGAGTTGGCGGCCTCTGTGGCTAAATGTCGAGTCCGTTGTCGATATGATGTAGAGAGTTGTAAAGCTGAATCAGGGAAAGTTTATCATAAGGGAATGTACTTTATTGACAACATACTACAAGGTGCAGGTGTTTCAGTTTCCAAAAAAACTGCTAAGTCATTGTGTTATAATATGGTGGTTGAACGACTGACCACCATGAATGTTGAACATGGCAACATCTTAGATGGTGTCGAACAGTCTGTCATAACAGAAGCAGAAGCACAGGTTCAGAGCACTTTGGTAAAGGCAGCACCAAATCCTAGGGCATTTGATCTCCGTGAACAGTTTGTCAAAATGAACGAACTTAGCAGTGCCACGCATCCTGCATCCATCATTACTGTCTTGGATGGAATTTTCAACGATGTAAAATTGACGCCCATTTGTCTATACCGTCGTAGCATGAACACAGAAATAGAAAAGGAGAAAATTTTCTGTAACCTCTATCTAGCTGGTCATCTCATCATGATTGGTGAAGCAGAGAACCGAACAGATGCCCAAGCAGACGCTTACTCTAAAGCCCGATAGGTTTCACGAACTGTGACCCCGAGTTCATCCTCCCCCAACACAGTAAACTTCAACCACACGACCAAGCAGCAACAGATGTTATCGACTTTCGTGTCAAGGGCAACTGCATTTTGGAAGATAACTGTTCGAATCTTCATCGCTTACAATGGACCCGAAAACCTATATCAACACTACCAGCCAAGGATATCGTTGTCTTTGAGGACGTCAGTTGGATAGTAGATCGTAAAGTTCAAGGTTTCTATATTTTACAACATTCATGTTTTGTCAACAATATGTTGTTGGAATGGGAGTTTTTTGACAATGATGATCGTGTATTCAGGTAAGTTGCCTTAAGGCCTAGTCTGGTCTCCCGGCCATAATCTTAAGGCCTAGTCTTGTGTCTTCCGGTCTCAACTGTAAGGCTTAGTCTTGTATCTTCTGGCCTCAACTGTAAGGCCTAGTCTTGTGTCTCTTAAGACCTAGTCTTGAATCTCTTAAGACCTACTGTAGTCTTGCGTCTTCCGGCCTTAACTGTAAGACTTAGGCTGTGTTTCCTGGCCTTAGCCTTCAAGCCAGAATTTCATATTTTCTATGAAAGTCAAAACATAATTATTTCTATGTCTTTTGCTCAATAGGTTATCAACTCACTATTATACGACTATGGGCATTATTTCCCACCCTTAAAAATCATTGACACAGGAAATAATAACACAATTACCTCCCTTGTTTTCCTATTGCCTCCATGCATTAGCTATCTTCAAATGTTGGAATTCGAAAATGATAATTTTGCCAATTTCGCAGCTGGCAATAGTGAATTATAGGATTAATAGGATTATTCTTTAACAAGGTAGGACTGTGTATGGATACCATCTATTTTAAGGCTTTATTTTAATAAATTTTAAAAATATAACTTAACAAATATGAAATTGTAGCTTTAAGATCTAGTCTTGTCCCATTGATCAAAATTTTGAAATGTTCAGTTTGCTTGTTACTCTTCTTTTGTTTTTAGGGGTGGTTGAGTGGTCCAAGCTCATAAGATCTTTCATTGAGTCAAACCTCCTGGGTGTCAGTCCAAAAATGTTGGTTTGTTTTGTGTGAGTGTTAATCCCCATTTCTCTCTTTTTTTACTTTAAGATGTCAGATGAAGATACAGAAGGAAGATGTTGGAACCGAACCTGCAGTGTCTCTTAGTAAGATAGGCTCTAGAAATTTTGCAGCAGCTGATATCTTGTTTAAGCTCTACGAAACACAACCAGTCATAGAGGTAAGTTATTCTATTGAATACTTGAATTAGCTTTAGGGCTATGGATTCCTGAGCTAAATAGGGCCTACATTATATAAAGATAGGTTGCCAGGCAACTAAACATACGCCCACAGCAGCTAAATCGTCCGAGCGGTCGACAAGAGTTGTCGTATATTTGTTCTTTTGTAGGTAATTAGGGGGCATTTAATAGACAACTTCATACAGATGACATTATAATTTTCGTCGTTTGAGGGTTCACAAGGTTCTAAAAACTAAAATAAGGGCTGTAACTCAGGAAGTAATCTACAGAAATTATTGAAATTCGACAGACTTTTTCGTTTTACTAATTCAAATAATACATATCAATTTCATACAGATCGGATGATAACTTTTGTCGTTCGAACGTTCACAAGATTCAACAAAGTAGAACAAGGGCCATAACTCTAGAAGTAATTGACAGAAATTGCTGACATTCAATAGGCTTCTTCATTTCACTAATTTAAATGATGCATATGAATTTCATACAGATTGGGTTATAACTTTTGTCGTTCAAGCGTTCACAAGATTCAACAATGTGAAACAAGGGCCATAACTCTAGATGTAATTAACGGAAATTTGCTGAAACTCAATAGGCTTGTTCGTTTTACTAATTTAAACGATACCTTTAAATTTCATACAGATCGTATAATAACTTTTGTCGTTAAAGCAACCACAAGGTACAACAAAGTGAAACAAGGGCCATAACTCATGGCGTAATTAAAGGAAATTGCTGAACTTCAATAGGATTCTTCGTTTCACTAATTTAAATCATGCATATCAATTTCAAACAGATCGGATGATAACTGTTGTCATTAGAGCATTCACAAGATTCAACAAAGTGAAACAAGGGCCATAACTCTAGATGATTAACGGAAATTGCTGAAATTCAATAGGCTTCTTTGTTTTACTAATTTAAATGATGCATATAAATTTCATACAGATCGGTTGATAACTTTTCTCGTTTGAGCGTTCACAAGGTTCAATAACATGAAACAAGGGCCATAACTCTAGACGTAATAAACGGAAATTGCTGAAATTCAATAGGCTTCTTCGTTTCACTAATTTAAATAATGCATGTAAATTTCAGAAAGATCGGATGATAACTTTTGGAGTTAGAGCGTTCACAAGGTTCAATAAAGTGAAACAAGGGCCATAACTCTAGACGTAATAAACAGAAATTGTTGAAATTCAATAGGCTTCTTCGTTTCACTAACATAAATATTGCATATAAATTTCACAAAGATCGTATGTTAACTTTTGGCATTAGAGCGTTCACAAGGTTCAACAAAGTGAAACAAGGGCCATAACTCTAGACGTAATAAACAGAAGTTATTGAAATTAAATAGGCTTCTTCATCTCACTAATGAAAACAACATATATCAATTTTAAAACAATTGGATGATAACTTTTGGCGTTAGAGCGTTCACAAGAAATTGTGGACGATGGACGGACGGACCGACGGACGTACCGACAGACGGACGGACGGGGGCGACGGCAATATACGTCCACATTTCAGTGTGGGCGTATAAAAACCAATTTAGCCAAGCATTGCATTTCTACACCCTTTCACTGAAGCAACGTTCCTGTCCCTTGAGCAGGGTTATCCTGTGACAACACCAGAAGATTGATATATGGGTGGGCTGGTCTAGTGGTCTAATGCATGCCCTTTAGATCATAAGATATGTCCTTGAATCAATTTGAGCCAAGCTTGTATGTGACAAGGAGTAGAATCTCATGTCCAGTATCGTGCATTTTTTTCCCGTTCCGTCAACATGCTGCCAATGGCTATACAAGGGACCTTTTTTCTTGTCCAGTCCATCTTGCCCTTGCAACAAGACGAAAAAAGGCTGGAAAAACCTGAGGAACTTCATTGGCCAGATTAAAAACAGATTCTTATCAATGAGCCAGTGTCCTACACACCAAGTCAGAACCCACCGAGCCAGCGGTTTACCCACAGAGGTGGGTCTTTACCCACTGAGACATTGTCTTACCAACTGAGCTGGTGGCTTAACCCCTGAGCCGATGGCTTATCCACAGAGCTGGCACCTCATGTACTGAGCCACCTTGGTTTTCGTTCTGCTCTTGTATTGCACATAAAAATGCCTTCCTGGCTAGGCACAGATTTGACCTTTAATTGATGAATGCCATTATTTAAAGTTAACCTAGATATCATGTCTTAGTAAATCGTTTTTCATTCCAGGTTTCTGCTTACACTAAACCTGATCAAGCGATAGAATCTGTCAGTTTTGATACGTTGCTTAAAGAAGCGGAGGTGTTGAAGAAAGCTGCCGAGGATGCAGGAGAAAACGTTACAGCTACTACAGCTGAGGGAACTGATTCAGAAACTGAGACCAGTGACACAGATGTTGAAATGAAGGAAGAAGTAACAGATTCACAGGCTAAGAAGAAATATCCTAGAAAACCACATTACCGTCATGCTGATAGATTTATTTTAAAAGCTGCCCAGGCACGACTAGACGAATTCATTAAAGTTAAAATGCTAAAAGATCTACTGTTTGGACCTGCTTTCCCTCATCATATCACACGCCAGATTAACGGCTTACTGTATAACCTCCCCGTTCCAGTTCGCTTTATAAATCATTCCACTAGAAATCAGATGTACACCATTGTAACGCAAAGTATGTCACCGATCAAAATTGTCGCATTTCTCAAAGCCAACGGTGGACAGTCTGGTCGCTTTCGTTTAGTCGACAAATCAGAACTTCCGACACATAAGGACATTTTACCAGAACTTAAAAGTAGGGAAATTTTAACTAAGATCAAATCCAAATTTTAGTAGAAATTTCAATTTTGATTGGCTAAGCACTAAAACCAATCAAATTGTTGGCTTTTTTTTGCTAATAAATATAAGTGCTAGTCTAATGTCTTGTCTCAATTACATCTTCAACAGTATGGTTTTGTTTCTAATTTAAAATCCAAATATTTGTCTAAAGTCTTTACCAGTTGTGTGGTTGAGTGGTCTGATGTATGCTTTAGATCATAAGGGCTGTCATTGATTCAAGTGCCATGGTTTGTTTTGAAGGTACTTCCAACCTTATTTGTCTTATTTTCGCCAGTCATGTTTGGCCGTTTTGACTGACTTGCAGTGAAATTGACCAACTGGAGAATACTAGTAGATCATAAGGTCTGTCTAAAGTTTAGACAAATATTTGGATTTTAAACTAGATTTATAAGGGGCATTTTAAAGGGGCATTGGCGCCATTGGGTAAGATTAGATAAGAGCTGACAGTTCTCGCTATAATAGTTCAACAATAAATAATAGAAACAGAAAATGCTGAAATTTCAGTCAGATTGCTTTGCTCTGAACCGAGATATAGGTGATTCAGTTTTAGGCTACAGAGCCAATTTTCTGAAAGGTAACCTTTTCTGTGGTTCAAGTATCTGATGTGAGAATCTGGGCCCTGTTTCTCGAAATCTTAACAGTGGGAATGCAGTCGACCCTACTCTTGGAAACGAAGCTAAGCCTCTTCACTAAATGACAGACCTTATTATCCAACACGAATGCATTATCATTTGACTCCACCCCCTCCCCTGCAGTGACACATGAATGTTGTGACCAATAACCACTTTCCTGTCTTAAGGCCTTTGAAAACAGACTATTCCTCATTATTAATTTGTCCCAACTAATCATGGTTCATGAATGCGTGTTCTCGATATGTTGACACTTCTACGATGGTGGGTGACTACGAGTCATGAGTGAAATAATCTTATTTCGTTTAATCTGTTATACTAATATAGAGAAAATACAATTTACATTTTATGGATATAACTTTTATGGATATAACTGTTACAACAAATAACACATCTACACAAATTTTTAAGTTGACCTCATTTCAATCAAAGTAAATACATGTACCCGTAAGTATTGTTTATATTCGCGTTACGTTTGGTAGTGGAACAGTGACACTGACATATTGTACATCGTTGACTTCAGGGTTAGGCTTGTTGTCTACCAAAGTTAGGTTAACATCTTCCACTACACTGCAAAGTCAGTAACATCATCAAGCTAACCTTTGCTAAAAGGTTAATGTTAATAACATCCACCAATTAGTCTATACACTAAACACAAGACCTGCAGCATTCAATCTCTGTGATCTGTAAATAATTAATAAAAAAACATATGAACTTACTTCAAATTTACACACTATAACTTATTACATAAACTTTATGTAGATAAGGAAAGTGAATTTTGAGATGCACTCCAATGACAAGTAGTTGATTTACATAAAAATTTACAAAAATAAGAACTGTTAATGAAAATAATAAACTGATTTACCTCAAGATAGATAATTGGAAATATTTTCTATACTTTTCTTCTGAAAAATGAAAGGGCGTAGTTTTATTATAAAACAAGGAACATGTACTACAAAAACATATAATTATTAATGTACCCCCTCGCCAACACGTACATTTGGAATTCATTTAATATAGTTAACTAAAAAAAATGTTAAAATCACAATTAATTATGATACCACAATTACAGGCTGGTAAAATCAACACAAAGTTCATACATTAGATTATAATAACCAGAATCGACTTTAAACTGATGTCTCTCACATATCAATGCCATAACTCTTGCAGTAATCATCAGATCTCGCTGAAAATCAATAGGCGTCTTGTCTCATGACCTTAAACACTGTGTATAAATTTAAAGTCAATTGGATTTTAAATTTAGCCTCTAGAGTGTTCACAAGATTTTTCAAAGTGATCAAGGGCCATAACTCTGGTAGTAATTATCGGATATCGCTGAAAATCATTAGGCTTCTTCGTCTCATGACCTTACACACTGTGTAACAATTTGGAGTCCATTGGATATTAACTTTAGCCTCTAGAGCGTTCACAAGATTTATCAAAGTGATCAAGGGCTATAACTCTGGCAGTAAATATCAGATATTAACTTTAGTCTCTAGAGCGTTCACAAGAAATTGTGGACGACGGACGTATAAAAATAAAAACAAAGTTTAAAAGAATCAACTTAATTAACAAAAACAATAATTAAACAATCAAAAACTAAACAGATAAATCAAATTCAAACGGAACAAATAAAGCAAAGAAAAGGAAAAAAGCAGTTCATTACCATTCTACATTAAAAAAATAAAGGAAATCAACTTGCGAAAAAAACTTTCATAAAATAAGAGTAAAGTAACACTAATGTTAATACTTTTTTAACGACACTACTTGGGCTCCCGGCACCCCTACACCCAAGCCTATCCACACCACAACAAAGGTCCATTTCATTGATTTTTTTCAATTTAATGGTCAAAGCCATCAAAAAAAAAAACCAACCCATTTAAAACACTGAAAAAATAATTTCAAATTCTACCTTTATAATCAAGAAATATAAACTTTAAATATGTAATATGTAATTCAGATCTAATTTTCCATCAAAATCAATGTAAATGGACCTTTGTTGACCAGATAAGCAAATTACATTGATACTAACTTCAGACTTTACAATTTTGTATAGAATTCGAACATTAAATGATCATGCGACCGAACCTCCAGCATGAGGTCCCTAACAATATCTATTTAAGAATAACAGAAACCATAAATTAAAGGCGTTTTTAGGACCTGAGCTTCGACCATATTAGATAGTAAAAGCTTAATTGATTCTATTAGTTAAGTATAATATTTGAAATTAGATCTATAATATATAATTATGATTTTAATAAATCTTAGCTGACAATAACGTGCGGATTTCATTCAGTTTTAAAATTGGTACTATATAGAGCCTAGCCAGTATAGCGATTCTGAAGGGAAAATACCGCTTATGACTCATGACGTCACTCAAATATGACAGAAAAGCACTTATTTTGGTGCCATCCCACGCATTGACTGGTATATAGAGCGTTTTGATCATTTGAAACTTTGAGTTTGACCTGAAACCCTATTAATTAATAAATAGGTAATATTAATAAAACAATACTACTAGGCCTATTTATTAGTATTTAGAATATATATCATATGTAGGCCTACATACACTGTCATACAGTGCCTTTATTTACAAGTTACATCTGATTTATTAACTGATTATCAGACTTATCCATTTGTGTGTATCTCATTGATCATTCTCAGGCTCAAGTTATACTCCTGACAAGTCCACGAGTCACGATACTGTGACCCCCTGTTGGTTGCACTTACTTGTAGTTAAACTGTCACTACTACAACTTAAGGGGTATAAATAAAATGCTTGAAATGAAGTCGGACTAGGTAGATATCTAGGCCTAATTATAATGTCGACTTGTTTTCATATCGATTACCCGACGCCAAGACCACTTCTACTGTACTAGCACTAATTTCAATGTAGGCTACTTAGTAGTCTTACCCCAAAAGTTAGAAAAGACTTCGTCAGCAAAAAAAATTATTTACAATCGGTACATCTATGATTAAGATTTGATTTATGCAGTTTTAGTCAAATACTAGCCTACTATAAAGTAACAAACTTCATTTACATTACCCAGGTCAGAAAATCTCCTCAGAAAATAAAAGACAACTGTTTAGTGTTTGTAGCCCAATAAATATAAGAAGCTGACGCCGTTAAAAACAGTGTTAGCCTAAACATCAGAATATTGCGCCAAAAGCAAACCAGTTAAAAATATAATTTGCGGGTCACGGAAAGATAATTCTGTTTGGAAACATGGTTTGGTGTAGAGGAGTAACCGAAGTTGGCCGAGTGAAATCTGCAGCCGGTTGCCGAGTGAAAAATAGAAAGTAACTCATTGAAGATCCAGTATTGTGCCGTTATAGCCTTGACCGCGCCAAAGTGTCATGGCCGCCGGCTGTTTGATGTCGCTTGTTTCGCTAACTGATTTGTGTCAATTCATCGGCCTAACGGGAATGTTATAAATATAATTATGTGAAAAGGACAAGATGGATATCGGGCATTATATTGTGATACATGGTAATGTATGACATTGTTATATAAATGTGTTTCGGGCGTGAACTCTACAAGGGAGCTGGTCTTATTTTTTGACACTCTCAGTCGGAAACGACGTGCGAAAGACTGGAATCGCCTGGACCGTAACAGCACCTTCTCAACCTCTTGGGTTTACTCCGGGTACTCCGGTTTCCTCCCTCAAGAAAGGCCCCTGCGCGTGGCTAAGATAATAAAAATGAAAAATAAGACTTGTCTGTGATATTACCTTCGGTGGAAGCGGACGTTAAACACTAAGAACAACAACAACGAATTCAGTACAGACAGAAAGATTTAGAAGTATAAAAAGCTATTGTTGTTTACAGTAGTTATTGAGCGTGTACCATAATGTGTTTCAGCGCCATTTGGAACAAGGGACTCAAAGAACAGGGCTAGACATATTCCACAAGTCATGTCAAATGGTGACACTATATTCTTATCTGGAGAGCATGCGCAATAAATACCATCGGTGTAGACTGGAAAAACCAGACACTAAAGAGTATGTCGCCAAACATAATTGATTAGAAATTACAGTAAAAACAGAAACGATTGAATGTAAATCAGTTTATATACATTCATATTACATTATTACTGTGTGAACCATGGTAAATTATAAAACTTGCCTATGTGTTTGAAATCACCTCTGGTTGAATAAAATCCATTACACAATTAAACATCCAAATCAAAACAAAAATTCTCTCTTGAAAAGTCAATGTTTTTGCTTGTATTTTCGACAGTGTCCATCACAACATTACACATGTCACGTCATGAGCTAAACCATCATAATATGTTGAAGGGGGTAAAGGTTGAATCACGTGTGTTGTAATCACAACAGCGCACGACCGTTTCGAGTTTTTGAGTTTGGGCAACACAATAGTAACTGAGACAAAGACATTGATTTGGAAACAATTGATTGTCAGTCTACTAAATTTTATTCACAATGAATATA